TGTTCACCCATGGCTGCTTTAATCACATCCACATCTCGCTGGGTAAACTGCAAACTCGTTTTTATCTCCTGTATTTCTCTGGTCATGTCGTCGAGTCTCTTATTTGGCTCCATAAGTAGTTGCACAAAACCTTTGGAGTTGTCTTGTTGTTGGCTCAACAGTGCGGTGTACATCTGCTTCTGCTGACTCAACATCTCTGTTGCGCCACTGAAATATAATCCTCTTCTGCCTCAACATCCTCGTTCGCTTCTGATTTATTAGCTCTTTTCCCTCTTGGAGGCATTTTAATAGTTGTAGAATTTGTTCAAAGACTTGAAAATGTAGAAGATGTGAAAAATCGTAGAACAGACAAGAGGAGCAGTAAAGACGTCTGCTCTCGCTTGCAACCCGGATGTTTGTATGTATATTACTACTAGGGATGTGACTATATTTGTAATTTCTTGATAGCGCAATAGAAAAATGTCTCCATACCGTCACGGGCCTAGGACAGAATCTACCAGGATATTACATGTGGTTATTTCACTAGTATAACTGCGTTCAGGTCCCAGAGTTTGAAACTGACATAGCAGATGCTCTGTCGTTGACTTTTACAGCTGTTGTGTGGCAGCATTTCAGTTTTCCCATTTCAAGAAATGACACAAGTGGAAAGGAAACTGACAACCTACAAACACTACAAAGACAATACTAGCCCCATTTAGGACTGAGACAATCCTGGATACACCTTGCAGAAATAGTCAGGAAACAATTGTGTGCAACCCTTTAACGGAGATGAGTAAACAAACTGGATACACACACAAAACCAACAACTTAGTAACCTGCCTTAGTTTATTCACTTGCAGAAGTAGACCACGATGTTTGGAAAACACCTCCAGTAAAGCAGAAATCTCCCCTTTATGTAGCTATGTAGTGTATTTTGGTGTCATCTCAAAAACTTCCGGCGCCGACAGAGATGGCGGTCGTGGTTACTCGCGCTCTCTTGTGTTTGTTGTTTTTCTTTGTTTTCTTGGTTTTGTGCAACTCATCCCGGATTACTTTTACCAGAGAAGAACTGTTAAATATCGGACAACTCACACCAAACTACCTTCCTCCGATTTTTGTGAATGATGAATGCTGCATGGACATTATGATCAGAGGCGCAGCAGCGATATACGGGACCTGGAAAAAACGCTGCCGCTGTGGAAAGCGAGCAGGCGCCCTGGTGCGGTTACGACAGAGGAGAGCACGGACCTCACTCCCATCTATTCACCTGGCTAATCTCCGCTCCCTGGTCAACAAAATGGATAAAATTCTTCTCGTCAACAGGACTAAGTGACTTTGCACGCTCTGCTGTTTTGTGCTTCACGGAGACGGAGTCAAATTCCTCATGTGTCCATCACACCTGGCCAATAAACTGATTCTGATTCTGATCTTCTCCATGTTCTGCTCTGCCAAGAAGACGTTTGCTCACTACAGCCCCTGGTGGTGGGGGGTATAACTGCTTCATCTGCTCCAGTACTGAGAATCCAACCACCAATCACATATGGAGATAAAATATTATCAAAAAATGTTACAAATGCGTGTTTAACGTTTTGTCTGTAACAAGCAATTTGTGTGTGTGTCATGCTGTTCACAAATGCATGCTGTACAAACTGCACATAAAACACATTTTACAAATGCTTAAAATCGATTTTTCGTGTGCAGTTCTTTAGAAACTACGTACACATTGTTACCTACGCATGCGTGGATCGTCTAACACACACGAATCGCCTTCGGCGCACACACGGGGCCAGCTAGCTGGCCCAGTGAGGCGAATTTGAAATCTGATTGGTTAAAGAAACAGTCCCATTGCTAATATAGTTTAAGTTACATGGGCCAGCACTTCTGATTCTGAAGGCCCTGGGCAGATTAGATTGGAAACAGGTTTGGAAACTCAGATGTCCGAGTTTTCCACGTGTCATTAAACGCACCGTGCTTTCGTGGACCGTGGACTTTTGAGAGTGCGGAAAAACACTCAAAAATCCGTGTGTGCGCGGAAGGTGATTCGTGTGTTAGACGATCCACGCATGCGTAGGTAACAATGTGTACGTACTTTCTAAAGAACTGCACACGAAAAAATTGATTTTAAGCATTTGTAAAATGTGTTTTATGTGCATTTGTGATCCTCATGACACACACACACAAATGGCTTTATACGTGCAGATTGCGCAGCACGCATTTGTGATCCTCATGACACACACACACAAATCGCTTGTTACAGACAAAACGTTAAACATGCATTTGTAACATTTTTGATAGTATTTTATCTCCATGATCACACGGCCACCCTACAGAGTATGTTAAACCTGCCCAGGGGGCATAAAAAACTTGATGTTTCACTGTGAGTGTGACTTGTTTTGTTTACAAGATCCAGCTGCTGCATCAATATATTTTTCATTTTACTTCATAAAAGATCTTCTGCTGACTGCTGCATTTGTTTTACAGTTTAACAGACGGTTCAGTTATTCAGTGCCAGTGACAATTCATGTCATGTTTTTGCACAGCTTTAGGTCATTGCTGGCTACTTTTATTTTTTAATAAAGGAATGCAGGAGCACTTTAAATTAAAAGGAAAATCATACAAAAACCTCTGATTTATTTTTCTTCATTTTTAAATATTGTGATAAATATATTGTGGGCTTTTTATTGCAGCAATATTGTACTGTGAGTTTTTGTTATATTTGCATCTATAATTTATAGTGAATATGAAGGAAAATGTAAAAATGTTTGTAAACTGAAGCACACAAACAATTTTATATACTAAAATACAATTATGACAAGCTTCCAAAACATGTATAGCCTCTGAATGAAATAAATGCTAATGCTACCACTGACTGCTAATGAGGAGCAGAAATGCACTTACTTCGGTGGCTTGACTCTAAATGTGGCTCTTGATTTCTGCAGGTAAACAAATCTGCAACTGAAAACAATCTGAAAGTTTCAGCAGAAAATTTCAGGTATTTTGACATTTAAATAAAAACAGTTTAGTCAAAGGAAGCTCTGCTGTGTGTGATAAGCCCGACTGATTCTGAATGTCACAGACACCTTTTACTGTGGAGCTTTAATCACATCCCGCTGCTACACCAAAGTTCAGTAAACGCTAGTTTTAAGATGCTGCAACAAGCTAACAGCCTCTGAGAGGAACAGTCAGACATTTATGAAAATAACTTTTTGACATGTTGAGTTTTCATGTGTTTACACACAGGTATAAGTTTTGAATATTTCTCATCTGTTGTGTGTTTTGGTGTTCAGAGCTGGCAGATGTGTGACTCAGTTGTCCTGTGACCGACGTATTTAAACCCTGTCATATCAAGTCCAGTATTAAACCCACACA